TAAATTTTTATTATAATAAATAATTTTAATAGAAATCATAGTAATTTTTTCTAGGTAACTTTTGATGTTTAAAATGAAGTATACAAAGTTTGATCAGAAACAAATAAGTTTAACCCGTGCCTCAAAGCGTTCAAAGTTGAACATTGTTAATAGTTTTGAAAAATTTAATAATTATTCATAAATTTGACAAACATATTTTGTTAGAAAAAAAGAAATGTTTATTTTTAAAACATTGTATAATAATCAATTAAGTTTAATAAATGTAATGTAATAAGTGCCTATGCACCATAAGTGGGATGTGATGAAATAGACAAGGAAGAGTTTTGGAGAGAGATGGATGAGGTGATGCAAGGGGTACTTGGTAATGAGGATGTAAAGATAGGCTGGAGAAAGAATCCTGGATTTCGCAGTATGGTATGATCTTGCTGTGGTTAATACTTATTTTAGAAAGAGGGAAGAACATTTTATAACTTATAAGAGCGGGAGGAATAGATCACACATTAATTATTTTAAGTGAAAGAGAGAGAGAGCGTAAATCGAATAAAAGATTGTAAAGGTATACCAGGCGAGAGTGTAACTACACAACATAGACTGATGGTAATGGAGGTGTGGTATAACGGAAAGAAAATATACAAAAATAGAATGAACACGAGGAAAAATCGAAGATCCGGTGGTAGAAAGGGTAAATGAAAAAGAGTTTGTAAAGATGGTAAAAGAGAGGACGATGTGTAATGTAGAGGGAGACATAAATGATGTGTGGAATAGATTTGCTAGTTGTGTAAAAAAAATTCTGCAAAGGATATTGTTGGTGAGAGTAGGAGTAGAATGCCAGGAAACAAGGAAACCTGGGGTGGGTTGAGGACGTTCAAATATCATAGAAAGTAAGAAAAAGCAATTCAAAGTATGGCAGATATGCAAAAGGAGAGAAGATTGGATTGAGTATAAACGCTTATGCAAAGAAGCCAAGTGTACAGTAAGTAAGACGAAGTTTAAGAGGTATGATGAGTTGTATGATAGGTTAGGAACAAAAAAAGGCGAGAAAGAAATCTATAGACTTAAAAAATAAGAGAGAAAAGGTCTAAAGATTATCATTTTTTATGGTGTATAAAAAGTTTACGGAAAAGAAGAAAAAGCTGTGTATGGTGTTTATAGATTTGGAGAAAGCATATGGTAGAGTACCGAGAGAGGTTTTAAATTGGGCATTAATGAGAAAAGGAGTCCCGAATAGGTACATTAATATAATTGAAGATATGTATGATGGCACTTGTACCATGGTAAAAAGCGTAGGAGGAGTATTAGAAGGTTTTCGATTAAGAGTAGGAGTGCAACAAGGTTCTGCTTTAAACCCTCACTTATTCTCTATAGTAATGGATGAAATTACTATAAAAAGTGTTATTTACAATTCGTCAAAGGGAACGTCTTTCAAAACCACTCATTTGAAATGTTGTATATTTAATATGTTAACTCAAATTTATTTAATGTGTATGATGTGCGATTATTTTGTTACAATGTGAACACTTTAGTATGTTACAATTTCCAAATAGGACCATCAGAAGTATTGAATTTAAGTATTCAGATAACAATGATTATATTTAAAAATTGCATATTTTTACTTTATAAATTTGTACATTTTTTTTCAAAAGTAATACATTGTGCAAGGCTTTTTTACAAATTGTATTCCAACTCTGTAAATGTTTTCAACAACAACTTCAGTCAAAATATCCAAGGTTAAGGTTATTGAATAATAAATTAGTTGATATTTTAATTAATTATTTATTTTTTTTTTTTGTAAGGCTGTAAGGTTTTTCTATCATTTAGACTATATTATTTATTAAAATTAATTATATTTGTATTAATTAAATTGCTAATATGTCAATAAATCCAATCAAACTAATTGTGAACACTATAATGTAATAATTATTATGTGTCCCAACATTTAATTTTACTTAAAAAATTTCTCTCGTGGCCTCTTAATTAAAACACCAAGTCCGTTCCCACGAACTCTATTGTGATATAAAACTTTATCAGAAACACGCATTCCTCGTATCACAATGCGAAGCAATGAGCAATGACCGATAATTATATTATAAATCAAAACAACTTAAATTTGTAATTAAATTATAAAGGGAACTTTGCGTTTATTAAATTCAGATTAAGTATAATAATAATGTATAGTAACATGATTATGCTTTATTTTTAATATCGTTGATAAAAATGTAAAAATCATTTATTAATTTTTAACGTTTTTTTCCATTAATCCTATAAATACAAAGGCGTTATTTCAGTTATTTTTAGAGGGCACGATCTTTTTAGTCGGTCACCTTACTATATTTTTGGTCCACATTACGAAAATACCAGTTTTTGACCAAAAAAAGACGTCAACATTTTTATTCAACTTTCATGTTGCACGAAGGACTTTAAATGAAATCAATGAAGTATATTTATCTATTTTTTTATTTACATTATTCATAACGTATACTTGTAAGTTATAATAACAAAAATAAAAAATTTATAATATATTAATATAAATAATAAAAATATAGCTAATAAAACACCAAAATTAAAGAATATATATTATCAAATATATTACAATACATAATATTTATAATTATTTAATAACTTAGGTTTTGGTTTATGATTAATTCATCCAATTTTTTGGTTTATTAATTATGTAATTTAAATTCCGTAGAATAATGAAGCAGCAGCTAATAATTATTTATTTTTGTCTTTATGTCAGGCAGTACCTTCTCTTCATTTATTATTGAACATAATTTCATAATGTTTTATTATAATTAAAATGATTTATTACTATGTCGTCATATTTTCTTTAACAATATATTGATTATAGAGATGGAAAGTTTAGTTCATTTCTGTGAATAGTTCATTAGTTCATAGTTCATTCAAGTGAATAGTTCAAATGAACTATTCTTAAGTTCACTAATTTTATTGATCATGCTGATATTGTTTGGCAATGAACTATTCATTTTATCACTATTAGTATAGCAGTACACAGTTCAGTTGTAGTTCACACTACTTATGGGCAATTAAGTTATAAACTAACCCTTAACCTGAACATCATAAACTAAGAAAAAATTATTATTAATACATGGCTCATGTTATCATTATCACCTAATTCAAGGTAGATATACTGACCAGTAGTCTTAAGTTAAATCAGAAATTTGATCTAATATTTTTACATAGTATGAATTTATTTTATTGTTAAACAGTTAAAAACCCTGTAACATTTTAACAATATAATTTATTTGTTATCTAATTGTAAACAGCTATTAACCATTTACAGTATTTCGAACAACGAACCACAAAGAATTTTTAAAGAAGTTCGCGAACTATTTCATTTATACATTGCTACCAATTTTTTTCGAACTGTGAACTGTTAAGTTACAGGTACTGAAACAGTTCAGAATAGTTCATCTAAGTGAATAGTTCAAATGAACTATTCGTTCACGAAATTAACATCTCTAATTGATTACATGTCAAAGTTTAATCATATTTCATTTCAATGATTAAATACTTTGATTAATATGAAAATACATTAGTGATAACAGCATAAACTGATTAAGAATTGTTAATATTAAATGTATAATATTGATACCAAGATGGATAAATCCATGGACTTGTATTAGATATATTCATTTAGAAACCTATTGTGCGTGTTATTATTGAAAATGTACAAAAAAATAAGAATATTATCAACGAAATATAAAAAAATTTACGACGAGATTAAATATTTTCGTGCTGTAATTTATTTTCATGGGTCACTGAAAAGTTAGTGGGTGCGATCGTACACTCTGACAGACCCAAATGGCCCTCGTGTATATTTATATATTTTTAATTAAGTACTAGTTAAACACTATTATTTTTAGTAATTTAATCCTAATTAAATTAATTTCTTGCGATGTTAAATTTTAGATTACTATAGTAGCTCATTAATAACTATTTGAGGAGGTCATAGAAATAAGATTTGTTGAATTTATAGTTTAGAATTATTTAGTAGTTCGTCAATTGAATACGTACATAGAAGGTTTACAAATATACAAATCTATTGATCACATCTTTACACCGTCTATTAACTTAATGTTCAACTAGAAAATAGATTTTTGTATTCTAAGCAATGTACTTATTGTTTATTTCTATTACTGATATTTACTATATATTTTGGGAATAGAAAAATTGATACGGCTAATTAATCTATTAAAAGTGAGAATTTTCTTTGTTAAAAATATTTAATGATAACCTTTAATGTTATTATCGATATTTAATAATGATATAATTTATTACGGACTACTTTCATTTAAAATTGCTACCTATTTATATAACATATATTATCACTAAGTTTTAATGCTAAATAAGAATGATCGTATTATTCTCAATAACATGATAATTAGCAATATTATTTAACAGCTTATTTGTATATATATAATAAAGTTAAATAAAATCTTTTTATACTTATTTATGTCAACTTTAAATGTAATAAATTAGGGTCCGAAAAAATAAATCAAATATAACTCTTATATTAACATAAATAAACCAAGAACTAAGACTTAATATCTTTTATTTACTATTTTATTTTTAAATAAATAGAACATTATATTCGAACACGTATAAATTCATATTTTAGTCAAAACATCTTCAGCTTTCAGGTATTAAGATAAATATTTCACCAAATAAAGGAATGGTAATATCTCCTATCAATAAGTCTACGGATGTATGTTCATTTTTATAGTAAAAAATTGTTTATAACAAATAATTAATTTTTATTAATGCAACTATAAACAACATAATTCACAATTAATGAAACTATTTTTAAAAAAATAATAATAATCATAGGTTTCTATAGGAAACCTCTGATAGAAACTTAGAAATTTTTTAAATTTCTACCGCAGAACAGATAAGATCTTATCTATTACGTGTTTCACTAAATAAAGTGAATAAATCCACCTTGCTACTAACTATTTAAGTGGTCAACTTTATCTAATGTTATCGCTTGTATTAAAAAAAATAATATGATAAAATAACCGTTAGTCACTTATCAATTGCGGAACAACTCGTACTAGTTTTTTTTAGAGTAATGACATAATAAACATCAAGTAGGTTCATAAAACATATATAGTCATAAACTATACGAAGTATACAAATTTGAATATACCACTATATGATTAATGGTATTTAAATGGCGTTTCATGATAATTAATGTGTGAAAAAAGAAGTTACCTTGAAAGGTAGGAGTAGGAATTTAATATCCATATAGAATGAATAAAAATGAATTTACACTTTGACGTTAAACCGGAATTTAAAATATGCATCAGTTTTTCAAATCAACACATCGTTTCATGTACCAAACGGGTTAAGGTAAATTATCATTAACAATAAATTCAAACATAAGAAATCTATTTTTGCTTCCCCATATCCATGTTAAATTTAATCTATATTATTTAAAAATTATACCTTACTTTTAACAGATTCACAGTTACAAAAGAATTAAACCAGGATATAAAAAGTTTTTGAAATATGAATATAAACTTTCTCTTGGCTAAAAAAAATGTAGATATACAATTTGAAAATATAACTTACAAAGTTTTAGATTGGAAGAATATTTTAAAATTTAGTAAGTTATTTATTTATTTTCAATTTAACAGTATTAGAAGAAAAAAAATATTTTCTTAATTATTTATTTTTTAGAAAAAAAAACTATTTTACATGGAGTAAGTGGAACTTTTGGTCATAGTCAACTTTGCGCAATAATAGGCTGTTCAGGCTCTGGAAAATCATCTTTATTAAATATTTTATCTGGATACAAGTTTGTGCTTTTTTTTTTTTTTATCAATTGATAATCATTTACATTGTAAGAATGAATGGTGTATGGTTAATATTATTTAAAGTTAAAATATATTTTTTATTATAAATATTAGTTATTTATTATTTTATCTCTGAATATATAGTTGGTAAGTAAGTAAGGAAACAGATCAATTTTTACAAACAATGAAAAATATAAAAACCCATTTCTTACTTACTGAATACTATATATTACTAAACTAACGATAGCCTGAAATGAATTTCAATTATAATTTACTGTTTTTTTTATTTATAAAAATATTATTATATTTAATGTATGGTATAACATGTATTTGCTCTATATAACTTCACATTGATTCTATTTTAATGAATAAATAAAAAAATCATAACCTTTTACACAACAATTAACTACCATTTTACTAAATAACTATTTTTAAACAAAATATCTATAAAAATGATTTATGTTAGTTTATTAACACTTTGGTTGAATATTCAAAATATATTTTAATGAGTTACTCTAGTAAAAATATATAAATGTCCTTAATGATTTTAGACCAAATGGTTTTAATGGGACAATATTAATTAATAAGGAATTTCGTGATTTAAATTTATTTAAAAAACAATCATGTTACATTATGCAAGAAGAGCAACTTTACAGTCAACTGACTGTAAAGGAAGCTATGCTATTTGCAGCACAATTAAAATTTTCAACTCGAACATTGGACTCAAACAAGCTTAAATTAGTAGGCATATTGTTAAATAAAAATCATTTTAAATACAATAATTTTATAGAAATATTTAGTAATTTTATTTTATATATTTTCAGATAAATGACATAATAAACCAGTTAAACTTTTATGATAAATATAATACCCGAACAATTAACTTATCAGGAGGTGAAAAGAGGAAGTTAACAATTGCTTTAGAGTTGTTACATAATCCTAGTGTTATGTTTTTTGATGAACCTACAACGTAAGTATTTATATAAAAAAATAAAATTTACAGAGTAATAGTTTAATTATGACTCACACAAAATATTTGTAAAAATATAAAACATAGTACTATTTTTTAATTTTAAAAGTTAATAGTTTTATAATTTTCAAAGAAAAATTGATTCTATCCCCTCTTTTCTTTTAAAATTTTTATCAAATTAAATTTTTAAATGGAAACATATATGTTTAACCAATTTACAAACTAGAAAAAGATTTATCTAGTAACTTATAAAAAAAACTGTTAAGTAACAACTTGTAAAACAGTATATTGGAAATTATAAATCGTACTGTTCCTCTAAAAGGCTAGAAGAACAGTATGATTTATAATTTCTAAAGATAAAAATAAACAGACTTGCAATTTATCTACAGTCACTATGTTAAAGAGTTAATAACTGGTCCCAACATACTGGTTTATAAGTTGTCAATGGCAGTTTTTTTATAAGTTACTAGATAGATCTTTTTCTAGTTTGTAAATTGGTTCGTCTAGCCCTTTTTTCCATGTGGATAGGGGATAAGAATACTTCTACGGCCCTCTGCCAGTCGTAAAAGGTGACTAATGAGGTTGCGTTAAGTCAACAGTTGGTGTAAAATTTTTGTCAAATAGAATGATGTATCCTGAACAAAACTTAGGCGAATTGTCCCATCCCGGATGTATGCGGGTCAACAGGTGAGAGGGAATAAAGTAGTTAAAAACAGAGAAAACCTATGGAATAAAGTGTTTGATACCAGCCGGACAACTTGTTCATTAGCTGTTTCACCAGTCATGTGTACAGGTCTATCCAACGCTTGTAGTGTTAACAGTGTAGAGACATTACTACTTAACTCTAGGCTGGACTCATATATAAGGGAGAAAGATAGATACAAAGTAAGAATAGGTACTTGGAATTTTGGAACATTAACTGGTAGAAGTATTGAAGAAGAGAAAAGGTACACATTTGTTGTGTGCAGGTAACTAAGTTGAAAGGAGTGAAATTGAGGGAAATAGGTAAGGGTTATAAAATAATATACTCAGTTAAGTCTAGTACAAAAAATGGTATAGGGATAATAATGGATGAGGAGATGAAAAGTAAAGTAGTAAAAGTAGCTTGAAAAAGAGACAGAATTATAGTGTAAAATTGATTTGAGGAAAAAGTGCTGAATGTAATAAGTGCCTATGCATTACAAGTAAGATGTGATGAAATAGACAAGGAAGTGTTTTGGAGAGAGATGGATGAGGTGATGCAAGGGGTACTTGGTAATAAGGATGTAAAGATAGCCTGGAGAAAGAATCCTGGATTTCGCAGTATGGTATGATCTTGCTGTGGTTAATACTTATTTTAGAAAGAGGGAAGAACATTTTATAACTTATAAGAGCGGGAGGAATAGATCACACATTGATTATTTTATGTAGAAGAAAGAGAGAGCGTATATCGAATAAAAGATTGTAAAGTTATACCAGGCGAGAGTGTAACTACACAACATAGACTGATAGTAATGGAGGTGTGGTATACCGGAAAGAGAATATACAATAAATATAGTTTAAAAAAACATGCTTTTAAAGCACATCAAACTAAAAAGTTTAAATAATTTTTAAAATAAGCTTAAAACAATAATGAACGAAAAATACTAGTATTATTGTGATATTCTGAAAATAAAAAATTATAATATGTTATATAGCTTTAAAGATATTATGTGAGACAATAGTTAAACAACCACACTGTATTTATAGAAATTAGAAAACTTTGCTTTAAATTCTATATATTATATTAAATATATGAAGAATGAATGTGTCAAACGTTCTATGTGCTAAATAATATTTGTTCAGAAGACACAAAAAACAATGGTAACAATGGGCATGTCTCGCAGAACGAATACCATCTATGAACGCAATTTTGTACAAGAAAAAAATTTAATTGGCATTTGAAACACATTCAAGATTGTGGCCTTTGGCACATAGAACATAAATCAGAAATAAAACAATTTTTCACTTTTTTGACACATAGAACGTTTGACACATTCACTCTTCATATATTAATTTAATTTTGTTTTGCTTTTGTGTAAAAAATATAAAATTTCATAATTAGCCTTCTAACATATTTTTATTTTAGTGGATTAGATAGTGTGTCTGCAAATCAAGTATTACTAATATTAAAAAAATTATCTAATTCTGGTCGTACAATCATTTGTACTATTCATCAAGCTTCTAGCTTACAATTGAAAATGTTTGATATTTTGTATGTATTATCACCATCAGGTTATTGTATTTATCATGGCTATACTTCAAATTTATACAATTTCCTTACTAATCAAAATTTATATTGTCCATTATATCACAACATTGCTGACTTTAGTAAGTCAATATCTAAATTTGTTCCTAAAATTATAACTTAAATTGCTTGTTATTTTCAGTCATTGAAGTAAGCTTTGGTGAATATGGAGACCATGCATATGATTTAATGAAAAATGTTGATAATGGAAAGTCGCCTAAATGGATGAATTCGAGTTGTGAAGGTAACATGATTGCATCAATGGGTTTTTTTTTATTATTTAATTAAAATTTTAAAAGAAAATAATTTTATATTTAGAAAATGCCTTATCTAATAAAATCATACCCGATGAAAGAAATGAAATTAAGAAACGTAATAGAAGTATATTTATTGAAATTATAATTCTTTTGAAAAGATTTGCCCTTATAACATCCAGAGAAAAAGTAAATACTATTACACAATATTTAAAAATAAATTTTATTTTATTTTTTATTCTATGAACAGTTTTCAGTTACAAGAGTTATGGTTCATTTGTTAGTCAGTATTGTGTATGGTTGGATATACTATGGTATTGGTAATAATGCATTACTGATCCATGATAATTTGATGTTATTATTTTTTAGTTTAATGTTTATTATGTTTACTGCAAGTTCAACAATGATTATACATTGTAAGTAGATATAGCTTAACTTGTTAGGTAAAATTATAAATTTTTACTAAATCTACAGGTATTTGTTAAGGATAAGACACTCATTTCATCGAAGACTATTGAATATTTTTAATTTTTGAAAGGAAAATATTGTTTGATTTAAAAAACTACAATAATATGTAGTTAAATAATTTTTTTTTTTTTAAATTCTTTAGGGATAAAAAAACCTTAACATTAATTTTTTTTTAATGAAAACCCCTATTTTTATTTGGATAATATGATAGAAAAAAAAAATGTACAAACAATTTTATTCTAATCATTTTTTTAAATTGATCCATAATTCCTATTTTAGAGTGTTAAAGTTAAGTATTGTTAAATCAAATTTTTATTGTTATTCTACTGTTTTGTATAAAACATGTATCAAAAGTCATTAATGACTTTTAATAGATGCATTAATTATATTAGAAATTTATTATCATATATTATTGTACGACCGTTTGAAAACTATTTTTTTATCACTATTATAAAAATAATTTATGGTTTACATTGTTTATGTAGTTTTTTAAATCAAACAATATTTTCTTTTACAAAATTAAAAATTGTCAACAATTCCTAAGAAAATGAGAGTCTTATCCTTAATGAATCACTCTTTATATGTTTGTTTAATGTAATTTATAGTTCCTTCTGAACTACATATACTTTCTAAAGAGTATTTTAATCAGTGGTACGCATTGCCTACATATTATCTCAGCTATACTATATGTGACTTACCTATTCAGGTAATTATTATATTTTAACCTATCAATGATTATTTATTTTTCATTAGCTGTAAAACTTGTTAAATTCTTAAATTAAATACTTTTTTTTACAGACATTATGTACATTTTTATATTGTTTATTTGTTTATCATTTTACTGGTCAACCACCTGAATGGTTAAGATTTACTTACTTTAATCTCATGATGCTGATGGTTGGACTATTATCACAAGCCTTTGGCATGTTTATGGGGACAATTTTTACTGATTTAAGAGTAAGTTACTAGTATATTAATATTTTAATAATCCAATGCTAAAATTAAAACTCATCGAATGAAACTTTTGTATTTGTTTAGACAAATATAAATATTTTTTCTTAACTCTATGCAAAAAGTTAATACTCTATAATATCAACATGTTATTAATGCTGTATATTATTTTATTAATTATAGTTTAGTACAATTTTTACAAGCTTTTTTCTTATGCCTTGGATGATGTTTGGTGGCGTATTTATCAAAATTTCTGATACACCACTAATGTTCAGGTGGATATTTGATATTTCATTTATGAAACATGGTATGGAAGCAATCTTACATTGTGTTTATGGATTAAATAGACCTAGATTGCCTTGTCCTGAGGTAATTTTTATGTTTTGATTATATGTTAAATTTTATAATCAAATGTTAATAAATCATTGTAAATAAATGTAAACAAGATCACTAATAATTATTATAATGACTAATATTGAAGCCTAAAAATTTAATAAAACAAAAAAATTGTGTTAATAAATATTATATTTTTTACTCTATCATTGAATCGTTTTTTTTTTACTTATAATTATAATGTGTTTTATCTAGATTTTTTGCTATCACACTTCACCTAAAAAGGTTTTAGAAGAATTGGACATGCCTATTAACAAATATTGGTATAATTTGGCTACGGTAACTTCAATTTATTTGATAATTAAAGTTTTAGTTTACCAGACTCTGAAAAGAAAACTATTTTTGCATTAAATAATTGTATATATGAATTAATAAACCATCATTATTTGACTTTCATTTCTTATTAACTGATCTCATTCAAGTATATTCATGTTTTATTTATCTTTTTACATTTAGATTAGTTACCTTTTAATATTAGATTTTATTAATTTACGAAACCAAAAATTAAAAGTGATGTAAGGTAATTGTGTTTTTTATTTTTGTATAGTAAATAAAAAATGTTTTTAGTTAAATTAGTATAAGTGAATAACATTGTTATTGTTTATTTATTAAAAAATTTATTATCTTTAAAATAAAAATATTGTTTTTTGTGTAATAAATTCTTTTGTTAGTTAGTATTTAATCTAAAAATAAGCGCTTTAAAAACTTGAATACCTCTAATATTGTCAAGTTGTAAATCACTTGAAGAGAAGAGTAAAATCGGTGTAGTTAGTTTTGTACATTTTTGAAACAAAATTATATTGTCTACTCCATTAACAATAAAACAAAAATTGACTTATAAAGATAAGCAAAATGAAAAAATTTTCAACTGAATGTTTTTCATTACTTGATATTAATGGGCTATTTAATCAAACCAATATCAAAAAAATGATAGTACTATATTTCTATATCAGTAATGATTTTTCATTAACTCGTGAGTATACCATAGATAGCCTTTGCCGGAACGATACGAACCACACTAACGATTGCATTGGAGCTAGTGATGGGAATTTCGGGTCAATCGAACGATCCGGATCATTTGGATCGGATCGTTCAAATGACCCGTTCATATAACTCGTTCTTTCGTTCATTTCTTGCGATCGGTCACGGTTCTTATCAATTACTCCTTACTATGGTTTTCCTGAACGAGTCGTTCAAATTCGCATTTTCACCATGTAACATTACCATGATATCAGAATTTTTACTGATAATACACTTGTATAATCGGGTTATATATTATTTTTTCAAATACAAATTACTTGAAATAACATAATATGCTGTTATACACGAATATTTTTGTATAGAATAAAAACAAATAATTTATACTAGCGGATGAGTTGCGGTACATAAATCCATAGAATTTGTTTCTATAATAAGCGAAATCATTTAAATTATTTGTTTTCATAAAAGGAGTTTTATAGAGAAATTAATTCACCTAAATCAGATATTACAATTTACAGCAGCTATGACCAGATTATAAAAGAGTGAGGTGGTTTAATACCTCTCACAACAATTATATTAGTCTAATAGTCAATTTTTGTCCTAGTTGCCTATTTGTCCATAGACCTATTTTAGCTTATAAATAATTATATGAATGTAATTTTTATGAAATAAATAGCTATATATTGATAATCAAAATTGTTCTTCAAATGAACAATATAGTAGGATACTTGAAATAATCTAACTGTATTAAACCTGCATGATTATGTTAGTAGAAACATGTCACAACTTTGAAAATTTAGTCTGCAGACCTGCAATAAAAATGTTTTTATCACAAACCAAATAGTGTTGCTTTTAAACTCTCATTGGCAATAAGTATTTTTTTATTTAATTTTTTAAAAAAACATTATAAGTATATACTTATAAAGAATACATTCTTCGTTTTTTTTTTAAATTTTTATATTATAAGAATATAAGGTTAGGCATAGGTTTTAACCGAAGTGCAGGTAAACGTTCAGTAAATGAACGAATCATGAAACATATATTGCGTGAAACGAACGAACGAATGAACGTATGAACGATATCTATTTTTTTTGCGATCCGGATCAACTCGTTCACTGATATGACCCGTTCGTTCGTGAACGACCCATCACTAATTGGAGCCACTAATTGGATTACTTCCTTACATCTAGAGGTTAAAGCACAAGTCAAAACTACAGTATTATAAATCCACAACATAGATATGTGCGACATTGTAGATCATGGTAAATTACTAAAAGATATACCAGAGTACACTAGGATATCGCTGGAATTGTATAAAACCAAACTTTTTCAAAATAACACCCCCTACAAAGTTGAAATTTTAACACGTAGAAAATATAACATAAACCACCTTTTACGAGAAAACATTTTTCCGAAAAAGATATCAAAAACCGAAGCGATGATTTAAAAGAGACTCTTTGAACATATATAGGTATAACCTAGTAGGAAGTCCTATATATATATAGTCCTAAGTATTCAAATAATGGCAATAACATTTTGGCGGAAACACTTATGTGTAGTAACTGAAATTATAATTCAGTAGGAAGTGCGCATAATGGATATATTGAGTGCATGGGGAGTTCTTACTTGTTTCTCTAATAATTTATAAGTATCTGCAAGTACTCAAAAAATAATATATTGCACTTACATAATACTATTTTTAATAAATATTCTTAATTAACCAATAGCCTAACTACTCTATCAATAAATGCATTATTGACATCAAAATCGTACAACACTATTGATATAAATTCTACAAAATTATGAAATATATAAGGTATAATTATACTTTTATTAAATTTAAGATATAATTAACCAACACAATAGTGTTCGATTTTGTTTGCGAAATTCACTTTGTAAGGATAAGTAATCCTAGATTACCTTTTAAAAACTATCAAAACTGGTCTTTTTCTAATTATTATAGGTTAAAGAAAATTTTCAAGATAATGCATAACAAAGAATTAGTCAAATTTAACTATAAATTCAATAATTTAAAATTGTAAAACATTTTTCAAAATTGAAAATATACAAGTAAATAGTTTATAAAAAAAAAAAAACAATTCAATAATAGCATCAATGAATACAAAACATTTGCTAATAATTTTTTTATAAAATAAAAAACTAAGCACCCATAAATTGTGAAAAAACTACACTAATTATTTTCTAATAATACATCAAATAAAGAGGTAGATTTATTAAATTTTAATATTCAATTGGAAATATAAGATTGTTGGTAGATGATTGTTTGGCAAGAGAAGCATTTTTTCTTGCTGATTTACTTTTGCGTCTTCTGTGATCTTTTTTGGAATCTGTAACAACTGTAATTTTAGATGACAAAACATTATTACTATTATCATCAGACATTTCTCCAGCACTACTCTCTGATATGCTAGTTTCTTCACTTTCTGATATCTCATTAAGAGGTCCATAAATTTTGTCCTCAGGTTCAGATGCTTCACTCTCACTCGGTGTACTATATTCACGTATATTCCGCTTTCGTTGTTGTCGCCTTTGATGTTTTTTAGCTTGAGCAGCTATGCTTATAGAATAACTATAAATAAAAAATTTAAATAAAGTTATTTTAAGTTTATATTTTCTAAACTTACTCAATTTTCTTTTCAATAACATGGTCATTAAATCTAACAGATTTTCTATGATTGGAATCATTAAAACTAGAATCTAACATTTCAGAACTTTCAGTGTCAGCATTGTCTACAGAAGAACTAAATACACGAGGACAAATTATAGTATCTTCCATATTACTACATTCTGAAAGGCTTCTACTTTTCTTTAATATACTACGCTACAATTAAATAAATCATTATGAGTATTAAAATTTAAATGAAGGAGGATTACTTTGGAATTCATATTTTAAATTTAAAAAAGAATGAACAAAAGTAAATCATATATTTTATGGGGATATTTAATTTTATTGTTTATAACTCAGTAATAAATTATGAATTGAAAAGTTAAATAACATATGTAATTAATACTTACAATTGTTGGTTTTATATTATTATTTAATTCAACAGGTAATGATCCTGGAATAAAATCAACACTTTTTTTTACATCAGGTAAATTACTATTACTAATTATTGGAATGGCATTTGATTTTTGAACTTTTTTCCCTTTTTTCTTTTTTGATTTTTCATTATTTTTGTTATTTTTACTGTTTTTTTCTTTATATTGACAATTAATACTTAATAACTCATTTTCTTTTTGGTTTAATGATGATGTAATATTCTGTTCAGTTTTTTTACTATTCAGATTTTTTAGATTATTTTCATCTTCATTTTCATTACTTACATTAGACATCCCATTACTTAATTTATTCTGATTTTCTTTCAGAACATCAATATGTTTAATGGTTAAGCAATTTTCATTTAATCCATACCAATATTCTGATTTATTATACAATTTATGCTTAACATTAAACTTTAAACTTATATCTTTATCAGATGGTAAAATTTTAACATTATGATTTGATAACTCTGAATTTGGTGACATTTTAAAGCAAAAAGAATACCAAATTGGGAAATACCCAGAACCCACTGAACAAAATTTACCCGATATCATATTTTCTTCTTTAGTAACTATTACATTAACAGTGCTTGGATCAACATTATTTACATTAAGCTTTAATGTATTTATGAAATTGAACTCGTGTTCTGGTAATATGTAATGTACATCAGTTCTATTGGCAGCATTATTTACATTGTCTCCCGTTTGATTATTTAGAAAGTCATCTTTTTGGTCATTAACACAACTAACATCCTTTAAACCATTTGCAAGACCATCTCCATTACAATATACTTCACTTTTATTAGTTTCATTTGTGTGTTCATTTAATTTAATATTATTTACACACCTTATATCATTAGAATTGTTTACTTCACTAATAAGAATTTTAGCATTATTTAATGGAGGTTCTTTTCTTATGACAGGAAGACATACAATGAGCTTTTTAGCACTTTTATCAAATGTAGCATTACCATTATCTTCTAATACAGTATAAGGCAAATCAATACTTAATTGATATTTTGAAGGCTTTTGACAAACTAAATTAAGTGATTTTGGTAATACATCTAATTCTATATTTGATGAGGTATCCAAAAGAGGTAAAAAAATTTCAATTATTAGTTCTTTTGGTATAACAGCATTTAACTTGCAGTGCATATTATAACCATGTTCTTGTATATCAATATCAGACCTATACTTAATAATATATTTAGGAATTGTAAATGAAGGTTCTTTTTTTACATTTTCTAAATTGTGTATTTGAATTGGTTGAGTATTTGGTGGCGGATATGGACAACCAAGAATATCATTATCTTTTTCTGATTTATTTGATTTGGTAAAATTTTCAATTTTTTTTCTTGTTACTAATGGTCTTGCAATACCTTTAAATGATATTTTAGGATACTTTAAGTTGTTTTTATCTAGAACTAGGTTATAATTTTTTTCAATCATTGTAAGTGCAGTGTCTTCAACTAAATCTTTTAGTGATTTTCCCTGTTTTGTAAAACCAATAACTTCTGGATGAAATATAATATCAAAAACATCGCACGGTTTTCGTGCTTTATCATAGTCTTGTCGTCCAGGTGAAAGACAATGAGGTAGGGAAAAATGTTTTCCTCCCATCCTAAGAGTGGTGGAAGGTTTTTGAATTACATCACTAGAACAAATATTAATAAAAACTTTTTTCGTTCCATTGGAACTAGTTTTTATAACATATCCAGCACATGGTCGAATGAATGTTACCTGAATACCTCGTTCTAATTCATATTGTGTGATTTCTTTCTCATAAAGGGCTTGATTTTTGGGGTCACTAATTTCATCAACATACTCACACAAAAGTTTTCGAAATTCTTCTTTTTTTAATGCTTCTCCAATGTTATCTAATTCTTGTTTAGTTATTTCTAAGTCTTCTAAGTTAGAACAATGATTGCTCATAATGTCACTTTGATAAATAAATAGAATATTTTATAAAAAATTATAATTAGTACGTATTATTAATATTAAACTACAACAATATTGAACAAGCTATTATGTTTATTATTCTTACGGAAGTTGGTACATAGATACCATATCACCGGCCGTGACCAATTCCCGGCCGGTATCAGATAATAATTCCGGTTTTACTTTAGAACAGCTGTTTAACAAGATAAAGACCTCGTTATTAATTTTTTATAATCTTTTAATAACTTGTCGCTATGAATTTATTATTTTCCAATCCTTAAGAAATTTAAATTATTTCAAATATGCAGTATTTATTTTTAGTAAAAATGGTTCTGACGTGGCTTTTAATATTTCAGCTAATGTTATGCTTAAGATCAATACTGCAAACTTTAAAAATAGGATTTTATTTATATTTAAAAAGTGTATTAAGTTTATGTCTAGTTTCCAAGAATAATTTTCGAAATTATTACAAAATGTAATTTTTACATTTTTTTTTGTTTTATAAAAACTAAAAAAAATCATCAATAATGTTTTTAATTTAAGTCATGTGTAATTATTAGAAATGGAAACATGTATCAGTTGACAAATTTACATACAAGTCAACATTTTTTTTTCGTTACTCAATATATTTATTATGGTGCACAGTAATTCGTCTAAATTGCATACTTCTACATCCCTCAACCCTCATGTAAATTAAAAAATTGAAGGTTATTTAATTAGTCGGGTAATTATTCTATCTCATTAACTAGATAGTTTGATAAAAAAATTCTAGAAATAGGTTTGTTTATTGATTCATAAATGTAAGTTTTAGTTATAATAAAATTAAACAAATATTTTTTTGAAATAATCATCATTATGATTCATATTATGAATCTCAAGAAATTAAAATAATAATTTAAAAAAGTAATTTAATCATATTTATGGTTAGTTTTTCATTTTGATGTTATTTAATAATTTTATTTCATAGAAACATAATTAACTGTTTTCAAATCTTGTTTATTCAAAAAATGTATAAATTAAGTAAAATACTTATATTAATAGATGATAAATTATAATTGGAAGTTATTAACTCATTGGAGTCTATTAACATCAATATTTTCAAACCCTAGCAAATTTTTCATCATTTCATTAAATGTAAAAGTCTGTAAATAATTAAAAAAATTAATTTCATTAATACTAAGTCTAGAATTAGTTAAGTTATATGGCTACAGAGACGACATTTAATTTTTTTTTGTCATGCATGGATATTGTAAAGGTCACTATGTAGGGTGGGACGAAGTTTAGGTTTTTTTATTATTTATTTGAAATCCCGAAGCCAAATATATTGTACTATATGGGTCAAATTGATAACACAGAATTTTAAGTACGCAAATGTATATTCCGCGATCCGCAAATGACACCTTTGTATATAGTTAACACTGACACATATATACAGAGTGATGGTTTAATGTATGTCACGAGTAGTAAGGTGATATTTAGTAGGACCTAAAATTGGCGAAATCAAAAACTCAAATTTCCTATCTCCAATATCGAAGATTTTTCTCATTCTCCACTTCAAATTTTATTTAAATCAAAAATAAACATCACCGCGGTATTTTCCATAAAATTCTCATAGAAATTGAGTGGTTATTCGATTTTTTGTAAATTTCTCGAAATAAACTCTTGAAATTAAAAAAATATGATATTATCAGTGGGTTTTTCTTGATTAAACTAAAAATAAACCTCATTACGGGGCACATACTAAAATTCTCACGCAAATTAAGTATGAGAATTTCAGGGAAAATATCGTGGCGATGTTTATTTTTGATTTAAATAAAATTTGCAGAGGAGAATCGGAATACCCCAATTTTGGGGATAAAAAATTGAGTTTTTGATTTCGCCAATTTTAGGTCCTACTGAATATCACCTTACTACTTGAGACATACTGTATATAGGCGGTTCAGTTAGTAAGGAAACAGGTCAATTGCTACAAACAATGAGAATAATAGAACCCGTTTCTTTACTTACTGAACACCCTGTATATTTACAATGCTAGTACATTAGTGTTATATATTTTTATTATATGCCTATCGCATAATATAGAATGGAATACCTCCAAAAATTTTAAAAGTTATATTGTGTTGTTATAAAAAAATTAGGAATCAAAAAAAAAAAAAAACAATTAGACTTTAAAAATTCATCAATGATATTTCTTGTATTAATATTCTTTAATAGTGACATTATTTGTGATATGTAAAAAAGATCATCAAAATTTAAATTACAAATAACTAAAAAAAGCCAGTGAATGTTACGAGTACGTGCAAATAAAGTGAAAATTCTTTCAGAGTATTTCAATTGATAGAATATTAGGTTTGCATTGGAATAAAATAAAAAAATAATCCAAACAATTTTATTTTTAATTGCGAAGCTGAGAAAGTATTAATTTTACTATGATGTGTTTTTTTTTAATATTATTATTTTTTTTTGTGTCTGTTACCAATTTTTCTCAGCTCTTACTGAACCGATTTCTTTCAACGATACGTCAAAAAGATCACAAATCGTATCTAGTCGAAGACATTATCCTCAAAAATAGAAAAAAATTTCCTCATTTCCCGTAAATGGGGGATATCTTCAAAAAAATTACAAATTTAAAAATCACTAAATTTCGAAATTTAAAAATTTTTTTTAATTTAAACTACTATAACTTCTTCAAAAATGACCAAATCAATATAACTTTTTTTTTATAGATGCACGATATCTTTATTTATCATTTGATTAATTTTTTTTATAAATCTGACCCTTTACCTGCTCACAGAAGGGATTCAAAATCACAACTTTTTCACAAAAATTAACTTTTGAAAGTGTTCCGGAAAGTCTGACACATTTATATATATCTTAAATGAAAGATTATGTAATATACTTTATTACGGAAAAAAAAATGTTCGGACTTTATTTTGTCTTCACGGTGAAAATTGCTACCGAATGCTACTTTTGTGTTAAAATTCTCAATTTTATAATTTACATTTTTAACTTTATAATACTATAACTTATTGTAAAGTGTATGGAAAATATATATATATTCATATATTACACTTAAAAATAATAAAACTTTTAATCAGGATATAAATAAGGAAATAGGAAATCATGTAGCTTTTGGAATAATCCACAATTTTTTTAAAATAAAATACTATCTAAAGGTTTGCATCGAAGCGTTTTTTTGATAGTGATTTTAATCACTGTCAGATATTATACTTGACCCAACTATGTCACATTCCTACTGTGCCGTGACCCAACTGTGTTGGGTTTTTATTTATAAGAATAATATATGTAATAATGTATATTTAATCATTTAAGTTTACATATTTATTTTCTCATTTATATTAATCAAAATATAAATAAATACTATAGTAAATATATTTATTATATATATAAATTATGTACACTTATTTATTTTAATTAATTTATATATATAAAATTAAGTAGTTTTAATTAAATTAAAATATTATATATGTAGCTCTTTTTTTCGAAAATTAAAGTATTGTTGTTTAAAGTGCATTAATTAATTTAATTTGTGTAATTGAATTATTTATATAGTTTTGGCGTATTATTTAAAATAATAAATACAGTATATTTTTTAAATTAACATATATATGTATTAGTAATAAATTATTGTTATTAAAAGGTAATATATTAATTAAAAATGAATAATTTTTTTATTAAGAAATGCAACAAGTAGTTGGGATTTAGATTCACACTACATGGACTATCAACGTCCCGTCAAAATATATAACTATGTATTTATATTGTATTGTTCATAAACACCGGCCACGTATGTAACGTCAACATCACGTAAATACATTGCTAAAAATTTTTTTAAGTGATGGTGTCGATCTGTAACGTGACGTTGACGTGTTCCGTATAGTGCAAAATCTTCCTTTAAGGCGAGGAAAATAGTGAAATGCAAACATTTTTGAAACGCACACATTTATCAAATATACCCGTTTATTGCACTTATAATTTCATCGAATAATAAAAAATGTACCTAATAGAACAAAGGAATCTGTTTAAGTGATTATTGTGTATCACGTTCGGTCATCACATTCGACCGTCCCTTTTGCGGCGAACGGATTCTATTTTTTTATTAGGTATACGGTCAAAATTCTTTTGTTCAGCGAAAGTAAACGTTCATCAAATGGGTTCTATGTTCTATTAAGTATACAGTCAACATTTTATTATTTGAATGAATGTATAATAGAACAATAGAAATTTGACTGAATACCCATGAAACAATAGAATCCGTTGACATAAATGAGATAATCCGTAACTGACAAATATAACTGACAACTGTGATGCTTGGATAATTTTTGGGTCCTCAATAAAGAAATTTTACTTCAAAAATATTCTAACTGCATCATTGATATTGTACTGATTGTGAATATATTTTCATCCGCAATATATTTGCGTAAAAAAAATTTAAATAATGCATACATTTTTCAATGTTACAATACAATGTGTTCAATAAGTAAGGAAACAGGTTTCTATTGTTTCCTTTGTTTGTAACAATTGACGTATTTCCTTATTTACTGTACCCTTTGTATATTCCTAACTTACGAATGGTAAAGTGTTAAGAATTAATTCTAAAGATTCTTTGTTTCCTGGTGATATTTCATCGGTTGTTTTTGATAATATATGAATAAGTATTTCCATTTCACGAAAGCTTATTTTTTCTCCTAAAATATAAAAATTGAATATAATATGTTTCTAATTATTATTACATGGAAAAAATTAGGATATAATTAAAGAATGCATTATTAAATTTATAATGCATATAAAAATTAATAGAATCATTAGCCTTTTGGACTTAAACAGGCTGGTTACGATTTACACGTATACTAATATACAGAAAAATATTCGTTTTCTAGACTCATTACGCAAGTGGGGCCATTTAACAATAAGATAACTAAAACACCCAGGACAGGGGGGTCATGGTACAGTGGTGACATGCCATTGTTGGGTCAAGTATAATAATATCTGACAGTGATTAAAATCACTATCCAAAAAAGGGTTCGATGCAAATCTTTAGATAGTGTTTTATTTTAAAAAAATTGTGGATTATTCCAAAAGCTACATGATTTCCTATTTCCTTATTAATATCCTGATTAAGATAATGTATGTCGGATGAAAAAGGGATATAAATATTATTTCTCATAGAAAAAATTGTGTTGATCCATAAACTTTTCAATAAGTTAAAGCATTATTAAGTTAAAAATGTTCCCGCAGGGGAATCCGCAAGGATTACGGGCCTAACAACCCCGCGGACCCTAGTTATTTCAGTGGGGGTGGCAACACGTACCACTGCTCTTAGCCGGTCATGACTTTGGTTAGTTGGGACCGGTAGGCCTGGGCATACCTGCTTGCTAACAGCGAATAGGCCCCCCTAACCCAGCCATACCAAGTGAAAGGGTTGCTAACTTGTCACAGGGTAGTTAGCCGAAAGGTAAAGTGACCATTGGGATCCTCTATGGCACCTGGCGCACCATAGAGTATACAGCCTTATCACAGTATCGAGCTCTGCTGTGACGGACCTTTATTTCTCGACTTCTCGTGGGAACTATATGGACAAAAACATAGAAAAACCACAAAACAACGAACTTGTGACGATCAGGGATCCTACGGACAACCTGTCGGAACAAGATCGTGAACTGGCGACTCTTCGCAGAAGAATCGCCGAACTTGAAGGTCTCAATGCCAACAACGGGACACTTGGTGAACCGTCTACTAGCAAAGAGACAGCAACGTCAGAAAATGTAGACCAGGAATCGCAAGATCAACTGGGAGCAGTAGCTGACAAAATCGAAGGTCTAAAACTTAGACCTGAGAAATTGAGCGGCAGTCAGAGGCGCAAGCTGAAGAGGAGCCGAGCAAACATGGAGGGGCAGAAGAACCTACCAAAGGAGGGAGACAAGGGAACCGATGACTTGAAAAAGTCAAAGGGAACCGAAGCTCAAAAACCTGAGGACAAGGGGCAAGAACCTCCATGTAAGAAAACTCATTGGGTACCGACCTACAGGGACGTGGTAACCGATGATAAAAAAGTGGCTCTGGTCCTCGCAGGCTACCCCACTAACAAGTTGACCACAGAGCAGGGGCTACTCATTGAGTCTTGTGTTGGAGACTTGATACTGTCGGGTACTGATGGAACCGACGTACCAAGGTTTGAAGACACCAGACTCACTGATGGAGCACTTGTGATCAGTGCAGCCCAAGAGAGCTCTCTTAAGTGGCTCACTGACCATGTCAACTTGATAAAACCTTGGGACGGTGCAGAACTCCATTTGGAAGCCTACAACCCGATCAAGTATAAACGGATGGTCACTCACATACCAGGGCTGCCAAAAGATTCCAAGAAGATCATGGAAATTTTGGCAAAACAAAACCCAGGGCTGAACACGGCGATCTGGAAAGTCCACCATGAGACAGAGGTTGGCCCGAAAGGACAAACTCTGTTTCTAAGTGTGGACGAAAACAGCATGGTCAAACTGGAGGAACTGAAGCGCAGTCCATATTTTGGAATGGGCAGAGTTTGCTTCACAGATTATGTTGCCAAGCAGCCACCAGCCCGGAAGGATGTGAAAAAATCCACACCTCAAAAATCTGGGAAGAGGAAGGCTGAGGAATCACCAGTGCCACTCGGGAAAGGAGGTAAGGCACAGGTAAGGGGCAAACGGACACACTTTACTCCTGCCTCGAAAGGGAAGGGAGGAAGTGTGTTACGTAAGGGAAAGGGACCCAGGAAACCGCCACCCTCAATAACGGCCACAGCTGAGGGGAACCTCTCCACAGATCCAAAAGGAAATGTGGAGAGCGGAACCAAGGCACGGTCGCCACCTGGGGACGGCGGTGGGACACCACCCACAGGGGGGGCTGTGTGACACAGGGACTGTTTCAGACACCTGTATCACACCCAGCACAGCGTGCTTTCTTAGGCGTCAACATCAGTTTATCTGAATGGCTGACAATAGAATTCAATTCACGCAAATAAACCTGCATCACAGTAAAGGGGCCAGTAGTGTATTACTAAGGACCCTAACTGAGAGGCATACAACACCCTTACAAATAGCACTTATTCAGGAACCATGGATAAATGGGGACCAGATTAAGGGGCTAAATCTAAGGGATTTTAAACTGTTTCATAAACAAGCAGATAAACCAAGAACTTGCATTTTGGTTAATAATAAAGTTAAAGCCAGCCTGATACTTAATCTATCAAGTGCAGACTTGACTATTATTAGAGTAACACTAAATGATGGTAAAAATATCATAGTAGCTTCAGGATACTTACCATATGAGGTCACAGACCCAGGTAGGGACCTAACTATGCTCTTTAATTATTGCAAAAATGAAAAATTAGAACTAATCCTAGGTATGGATGCTAATGCACACCACACTATTTGGGGGAGCAGTAACATCAACCAAAGAGGAGAGGTTATAATGGATCTATTGCTGACTACAGACCTAAGTATACTGAACAGAGGTAGTGAACCTACTTTTGTTATCAGGAACAGGCAGGAAGTCATTGATCTAACAGTTTGTTCAAAAGGGTTACTTCAAAAGATAAAAGGGTGGAAAGTGTCCTCCGAACCTTCTCTTTCTGATCATAGGCACTTACGATTCACTTTGGAAATTAACAAAGTTGAGACGGAGTACTATAGGAACCCGAAAAGAACAAACTGGGACAAATACAGGGCAGATCTCTCTCGTGACCTGATTAACCTACAGTTTAGATTGGGGTCGAGACAGAGTACTGAAAGGGCTGTAAATATGCTACAGGACTCCATTGTCTCAGCTTACAAAGAAAACTGTCCTTTAATAGAAAGGAAAGGTACAGGGCAGGGTGTAGCTTGGTGGAATGCTAACCTGTCTAAATTAAGAAAGAGTTCACGTAAGCTCTTAAATAAAGCAATGAAATCAGGTTTGGAACAACACTGGGAATCCTATAAGGACGCCCAAAGGAACTACAAATCTGCATTGAAAAAGTCCAAAAGAGAAAGCTGGAAGAAGTTCTGTGGGGATATACAACAACTCCCTATAGCAACTAGACTTCTGCGATCACTAAGGAATGGACCAAACAAAACTGTCGAGGCAATACTACTGCCAGACGGAATGTTCACCAATAATGATAATGAAACATTATCACATTTGATGAACACACATTTTCCTGACTCTACAATTAACAACAGAGAACAGGAACATGATGCACAGGACAAACGTGTGACCTGTGCTGATTGGAGACTAACCAGGAAAGTGATAACCCCAAGTGGAATAAGATGGGCAATAAAAGCCTTTGGCAGTTTTAAAGCTGCAGGCTGTGACGAAATTTTCCCTGCACTTCTGCAAGAAGGGTTAGAGATAATCGTCCCCCATCTCTGCAAAATATTTAGGGCATGCCTTGCCTATGGTTATCAACCAGAAAGCTGGCGTAAGGTTAGGGTAGTGTTTATACCCAAACCTAACCGCACTAACTATTATGAAGCAAAATCCTACAGACCAATAAGTCTTACTTCTTTTCTTCTTAAGACTATGGAGAAACTTATTGATAGGTACATCAAGGAGGGGCCTCTTAAGGAGAACCCTTTACATGAAAACCAACATGCGTATCAAACGGGGAAATCTACTGATACAGCTCTACACTGCTTAACTACTAAGATAGGGAAAGCTGTAGAGAATAAAATGTATGCAGTAGGTATATTCCTGGACATCGAAGGGGCTTTTGACAATACTCCCTTCGATGCTATGTGTGAATCTGCACAACAGCGTGGAATAGAACCACTTATTATTAAGTGGATAGAATCCATGCTTAAGGAACGCTCCATTTTGGGACAGCTCAATGAGACCAAAGTAATCAAGAGTGTCAAACAGGGATGCCCACAAGGCGGGGTTCTATCCCCCTTGCTATGGTGTCTAGTATTGGACTCGCTTATTAGAGAGTTAAACAAATATTGTTATACACAAGCCTATGCGGATGACTTGGTTATAACAGTGGTGGGTAAATTCCCAGACACTATTATTGACTTAGCACAACAGAGACTTAACACTATACAGATATGGTGTAGTAAGTACGGTCTATCTGTTAATCCAAATAAAGCAGAGGTTGTTATGTTCACTAGAAAGAGAATAGGACTAGACAACCTGGACACTCTTACTCTGAATGGACAAGAAATTAGCTTAAAATCAGAAGTAAAATACTTAGGTATTATCTTGGATAGTAAGCTAAAATGGAAATCACATGTTGAGTCAAGAATCAAAAAAGCAATGACCACATTGTGGACTTGCAGCAGAGCCTTGGGAAAGACATGGGGTCTTAAACCAAGAGTTATGTATTGGTTGTACACGTCAGTGATTAAACCTATGATATTGTACGGTGCCCTGGTCTGGTGGACCAGAACAGCACTCATTACAGCTAGGAAAGAACTTAGTCGCATACAGAGAATGGCTGCTATTGCCATCACTGGAGCATTAAGAACTACACCAACGGTCGCATTAGAGGCACTAATTGGATTGCCTCCTCTGCATCTAGAGGTGAAAGCTCACGCCAAAGCTACAGCACTAAGATTCCACAACTTAGGTATGTGGACTTTGGAGAGTGATACAACAGAACATGGTAAAATACTAAAAGAGATAGACAAGGGCTTTTTAGAATACCCCTTGGACTATATCAAACCGGTTCTTAAGAATAACATTCCCTACAAAGTGGAGATCACTACACGTATAGAATGGAATATTAACCACCTGACTGACAAAGGAGGATTTGTGATATATACAGATGGATCCAAAAAATCAGGAAAGGTAGGTGCTGGAATTTGGGGCTTAAAGCCACGAATAAATGTCAGTATGTCATTGGGCACAACACCCTCTGTTTTCCAAGCAGAGGTGATGGCGATACTGGTAGGGGCTCAGAACCTGCTGGTATACAAAAATAGGAAGATAACTATCTTAAGTGATAGTCAAGCGGCTTTGAAAGCACTCTGTAACGATCAGGTGAATTCAAAGCTGGTCCTCGAATGCAGGGAAACTTTAGAATCACTATCGAGGTTCAACAAAGTTACACTAGCGTGGGTACCAGGACACAACGGTGTCACTGGAAATGAGAATGCTGACTTTCTAGCCAGGAAAGGAGCAGAGAACACCTATGTTGGACCAGAACCAGTGGTAGGGCTCACTGAGCAATCGCTCAAAGCGTTACCCAAGAATTGGTGCAGAGAACAACACAGGAAAATCTGGAAGTACTTGGTAGTACCTAGACAATCTAAAATGTTTATCAAGACCCCTGGTTTATTGCTGGGTGATCTTAATAGCATGACTAGACATCAAATAAGCACCCTGACTGGTCTACTGACAGGACATGGTCACCTGCTTAAGCATCTTAACGCAATGGGGGTATCGGAATCACCATTGTGCAGAAAATGTGGAGTAGAAGAGGAAGACTCATTTCACATCATGTGCGAATGTGAAGCCTTGTCCACACTAAGATCAAACTACTTGAATAAACCATTTCCTGAAAAAGAGGATATTAAAAACCTAAAACCCAGGGAGATACTTAATTTCGCCAGAAAGACAGGACTCTTTGGTCATCTCTAGAGGTGACTTTATGGTTGGTAATGTATTAACACTTTGGTGATAACACTTAGGTGGGTAAACCGAATCAAGACAATTCGGTATGAGGTGCGCACAATGGACCAACAGGTCTGAGTGCATGGGCATTATGTCCACCTCAATAATAACTAAAACTAAAACTAAAACTAAGTTAAAAATGTAAAATATAAAATCGAGAATTTTAACACAAAAATAGCATTTGGTAGCAATTTTCACCGTGAAGACAAAATAAAGTCCGAAAATGTTTTTTTCCATAATAAATTATATTACATAAGCTTTAATTTAAGATATATAATAAAGTGTCAGACTTTCCGGAACACTTTCAAAAGTTAATTTTTTGTCAAAAAGTTGTAATTTTGAATCCCTCCCTGTGGGCAGGTAAATGGTCAGATTTATAAATGAAATATACCAAATGATAGGTAAAGATATCAAGCATCTATAAAAAAAGAGTTATATTGATTTGTTCATTTTTGAAAAATGTCGAAAATTAGCGATTTTTAAATTTGTAATTTTTTGGAGGTTTCCCCCATTTACGCGAAGCGAGGGAATTTTTTTCAATTTTTGAGGGTAGTGTCTTCGACTAGATACGATTTGTGATCTTTTGACGTATCATTGAAAGAAATTGGTTCTGTGAGAGCTGAGAAAAATTGGTAACAAACACAAAAAAAAAGTAATATTAAAAAAGAAAACACATCATAGTAAAACCAATACCTTCTCAGCTTCGCATCAAAGCTAAAAAAATAGAACTATTTAACCCAATTTTACGGTACCCGTATTTATTGCTATCATGAAGATAAATTAAATTATATTTTCATTATAAATCAAGCGGTTTTTGGCATTGTAAGTTCGTTAGCGAGTGTTAGTACGTATTTATCTTGTATTACATAAACGAAATAGCACAGAAGGATTCAGTAAAGAGGAGATTCTGACGTACTTAAGTGTCATGTATCTTTTTAAGGGTTTTTCGCCTTATTGACTCATTTGGTGAATGGACTCAAATGGTCTAGTTTCAAATGAGTTTAATAAGCGATGACTATCGTAATTATTTTTTTCGCTAAATCCATAATCACCTTTATTTATTAGCATATCCACAAACGACTCTCTGGTTATTACTTTTTCATTATTATTGGTATTATTAAACGGATCGTTTAGTACCATATTTTCAAATGATATTTTGATGTCTTGAATTTTCATAGCTATTCGTGGCTTATAATTTATGTACAATATAACAAGTTCATCAAAAGTTATTACAGTGTTTGAATGACCCAATTTTATTTCGTCTCTTAAATGCAACTCATTAGCCATATTGGTTAACTATAGGAAATCAGCGAATTTTATAAATATTATGCTTGTATTAATGTTAGAAAAATATTTATTTAAGGGTATTTTACTTCAATTTCAGATGGATAATAACCCATAGATCTCATTAACAAAGGAACATCACAAACATTAATGTATTCGGTTAGTACTGTATCCACTTCGGGTTTCGAACTCGTTACTAATTGAACACAATAAAAGTATTCTTTGAGTTGAGCTAATTCTGTTCCATTTAAACCTCCATCAAGTAATGACTCAAATGCTACCAAACTGGTACCACCAATTCTTTCTGACCGTTTTAAAGAACTTAAAGATAAGCATTATTGTTATTATAAATATTATAGTAAAATTCGGAAAAAACAATGGAAGCAATCGACCCAAAACGTTTTAGTTTTGGCAAATGAATTATTGAAAACTCATATCAATAACTGCCATTACTTAGATTCAGGGGCGTCATTTGTGGAGGGTCAGGGTGTGCAACCGCACCCCTCACTTTAAAAGGGGGGATTCAAAATAACAACTTTTTTACAAAACTCAACTTTTTAAAACTTAAGTTTTAAAAATGTTACGGAAATACTATGACCTTAAAACATATGTCAAATTAAAATTAAGTTACGTACTAAAAATTAAAAAAAAAAATTGTCTCGACGACCTGTCTTCTTTATGCAAATGGCTGCCGTAGTTAAAATATATGCTATTTTTGTGTTCAAATTTTATTTTCTTAAATTTCATACAAGGGTTTGACATAATAATGTCTCCAACAATTTTTATAAAAGTTACATAAATCCAAGTAACATTTAATATTCTTAAATATTCTTCTTCTTCTTTTTCCTCGCCTTCATTCCAACTACTTGGGGTTGGCCACTCTTATCCAAAACTTCCTCTTGACACGATCTTCCACAACATCTATACTCACATCAAATTTAATTTTCACACTCCTGTATGTCTCTTTTACCTTTAAATATTGGCACCACAATACTATTCCTCCATTCATTTGGAATTTTCCCTTTTAATATAAATATAAACTAATTTTGATTATTTTACTTCCTCAAAGTTATGAAAAGTGATTTTGAATTTTTGAAAACTTAAAAATTTGTATAAAAAGTAGAACGTTTTCAACTTAACTTTTGAAAATATTCCGGGAACACTACGTTTTTTAAATATATGTTAAAATAAAGCTTATTTATGTACTAGAAGTTCAGAAAAAAAAATTTAGAACGATGACCTATTTTTTATGCGCAAATGGCAGTCAGTGTAGAACAAAAAATAGGAGTTTATTTTGCTTTTGGAATAATCCACCAATTTCTTAGAATTAAATACTATCTACAAATTTGCATCGAAGCGTTTCTTATGATAGTGATTTCAATCACTGTCAGATATCATCTATACTGGTCCCAACTATGCCACGATCCCACTGTGCTGGGTTGGTGTTTTTTTGTTTACTTAAGTAGGTATATCTACTTTTATATGGTCAGATGTCATTTCAAAATGGCCTACTTAAAATCTTGCACAGCCCAAAAAAAACTAAAATGACGCCCCTGGTATGATTATTGATTTATGATGAATTATATAAAAAAAATTATTTTTGGCCTTATTAAATGTAGAAAATAATTTTGTGTTAATAATAATGATGCTAAAATTAATTTTTCAGCAAATTAAAAAATATAATTAGAAGAAAAATAAGGATCCGCAACTCTCCTATTTCACTACAATATATAAAATACAGTTTATATGTAATACATATGAAATAGGATATGATGAGAATGATTTTAGTATGATATTGTAATTATAAAATAATTTGTGTTCCACAAAAATATTTTGTTTAGAATTATATTTCCTCGAGTTAAAAGTTTATCCTTTCATAATGTTTAAATTTTATTTTATTCGAAATTTCAAACACATAAAATGCTGATTTTCACAACAAAATAACATTTTTTATTTACATTTTATTTATAATTTATAATAAGTTTTAATTTAATTAGTGTTTGAAGTTTGGAGTATTACCGAGACATTTTCAAAAGTTAAGTTGAAAAGATTAACTATTTATGTAAAAAATTGAATCTCCTTGTGGGCAGGTAAAGAATTAAATTATGACTAATAAAAATGAAATACCTGAGGTAATTATAAAAAAAATTCTTTTAATTTATCAATTTTCCAGAATTTAAAGACGTAAAAGACGTTAAAAATATAAAAATTTACCAATTTTAAAATTTGTAATTTTTATGAGAATTTCCCCCATTTACGGGGAACGAGGAAAATTTTTTCAATCTTTGAAAGTAATGTCTTTAATTAGATACAATTTGTCATCTTTTGANAGGAAAATTTTTTCAATCTTTGAAAGTAATGTCTTTAATTAGATACAATTTGTCATCTTTTGATGTATTTTTCAATAAAAAGAGTCCAATAAAAGCTGAGAAAAAATAGCAACAAAACAAAAAAAAAAAAATATTACTTTCGTATAGCTAAAATAAATTTTATAACTGTCATTGTAGGAATGTGTGATTATATTATATAAATTAGTATTACTTACTTATAATTAATGGACCACATGAATACAGACGAACAATCTTCATTTATACTGAACAAATAATTACTTTTTGGGCATACATTTATATCAAGCATCTAAAATAATGAATTATGAGCTCAATTTTGTCTATAATGGACTAAGTTTTACTTTTGAAGGGGATCCAATTACTGCCGTATACGAATATGGATTCCCATCTATAGGTTGACGTAACATTCCTATAACTGTATCGCTACCAAAAAATAATATTTTATTGCTTTTCTGCGATTCCTAAAAAAAATATCGTATAAATAAAACAACATATATGTATCAAAATTTATCTAATTTTTTTTTATGCTTTTACTTTTAAAAGTCGTATGGGTGTTTTAAGTTTGACACCGTTAGTGGTTCGAATGCAGCGATTTTCATCCCACACATATAAGTGCAACTATGATTCCATTATACAGCTATATGAGTATAAAATAAGAAGCTTATTTCGATATTTCACTTACATCTTTGCCACTGATGATCAAATTGAGTTCTTTTTTTATCGTTGATCGTACCATACAAAGTGGTTCGCTCCATGGTTCTGTTTGAATTATTTTCAATAATTCCATGTATTCATTTAATCTATTATAAGTAAAAACACAATAATAATATATAAAAATATATATAAAACGCCATTTTTAATATTTTAAGCAATAACTAATTATAATTTATTCAATTTTTAAATAAATGTTTTATTTGAAATTTACTATAAAAGAAAATGTATAATAATATTTTATTTAGTGTTTACTTACTGTTTATTAAATTTAAAAACAATGATTCTTAAATCAGCACCTGCACTGTAGATTATTAAATTGTCATCATCTTCGACAATGACAATTCCTCTTATTTCATTAGTATGAGCTTGGTAACAGCCATGATATTTTACTTTTAGTTGTTCTCCAGGTATCATACTATAAAGATATAAGCCAAAAGATCCATCCTATACCAAGTGAAAAATAAAATTCAAGTCAACTATTCCATAAAATAAAAGTATTGAACTTACAGTGTAGACAACGTATTTAGAAGAATCGCACTTGGATGTACTAGGTGAAAATGTTATGCAGCGAATGGGCGTATCAGTCCATTTGAAAGGCTTAAGAATAGCAGGTGTTAACAAGCAAGGATCTAGAAACCATAAAGACCCGTCTTCAGTACCGCAACAAAAGTAAAACCCTGTTAAATTAATAACAAATAAAATTCTTAGTTATAAAATTTTACAGAATAAATTTAACTATTTGTTATTATTTACCTTTAGGAGAATATTGAATACAGGTAAATTGTCGACCAAACGAGTAAATCGTTTCACTAGAACTTAAATTTGAGATAAGAAATTGCTTTGTTTGATAATTGTACATGTTAAGCCGTCCAACAGAGTTTCCGTAAACTATATAAGGCCTGAAAAAATGTAAATTATAAATTAGATTTCCAATCAAGTGTTAAATCGAGGTCATTATTAACAAATAGAATTTGTTCATCTATCACACCTGTTATTTACAACCAAAATTCCCGCTTAGAAATATATTTTTTTACTTTATTATGGTACTTAATGAATACAAGTAAAATATTTTTATAATAAATTTTATCAAATAAAATAATTCACAATCATACTGTTCTGGATGAATTGTCATAGAAGTGATAACACCATCACAAGACTCACGAATTTGAGTATAATTTTGTTGAGAAATATCAATATAAATGATTTTACCGCTGACAGTACCTAAAACAATAATATTATAAAACTAATAGCTTCCATGATCTATTTAATTTATGAAATATTAAAAATTTTATAACTAAAGTATTTATAATATCATACTTATAATAAATGGAGCGAATTTAAAATATGATTCACTTGCAGTTGTACTGCATTTATTATTAACTTTATCCGTTTTGCATTTGTTTTGTATAGTTTGGTTATTGAAAAGATTTTCATTAGACGTGTCTAGAACGAGTTTTATATGAAGAATATTTAAAAATTTTATATTACATATATATATACTATATTAATTACATGATAGAACAAAAATGTTCAAAAAATTTTGTTCTTGTAATTTCATTTATCCAATAAACTGATAGATTTAAAATAGAAATTTATAATTAATTTGGATTTTGTACCGAGGTGAACAATAATTTGTGTCACAAAAATTATTATCAGTATTTATTTTTGCTATTATAAGTGATACATATGATAATTAGAACTGTCAACAAAATCTTGTTTGATGACATCATGAAAACATAACGTCTACTGTATGCTAAACAGAACATTATTTACTTAATATAATATTTTAGCATAATAATAAATTTCCTATAGATAATTAATATCAATAAAAAATTGATCAAAAATCAATAAAGATTATTAGCAATAACAGAATAACGGTTCACTAAAAAAAAAATAATATTAAAACAAAATTTTTTGAATTATTTTTTCTGACATATAATAAATTAAAAATAGCGGTTTCCATTAAAAATAAATAAAGTTTAAGTTTTTACCCCCAAAGGTCGAAAAAAAATATTTAATTTAATATTATTGTAGTTTTTTAAATCAAACAATTGTTTCCCTTATGAAAATTTTAAATTTACAATAGTTTCCAAAGGGATGAGTGTCTTATTCTTCATCAATCACTCTGTATATTTTATAAGTCCCTTTTATGTAACGGTAATAACTAAACACAACATTCCCTCTATCAGAAAAACATCTAAATAATTAAACCACAAGAGTTTTATAAGTTTTAGTTACATAAAAAAAATTTGGAAGAAACAACCATTTCTTCAATTCTGCTAGTGTATGACTTTTTTCAGCTTATTTATTAAATGATAATGCATTTTAAGGGTATTGCTACTATGTCCCTCTTGCATAAATAAAAAGTTCTATTTATTAATTCATTTTTATATTATAGATATTACATTTAATTTTTATATAATACCTGTTTCTTTACAAAGATCGATAGGTGTTAATATTTCTATAGACATAATTCCATCTCCAACAAATTTTGTCAAATGAAATAAAACTCTTAATGATTTGTCATAGAAAAATATATCACCATTTATATTGCCTGTTATTATAAGCCTAAGATCATATCATTTTCAGTTTCTTTTTTAATTAATATTTGCACAAAAAATTGTAATTAATGTACTATATAAAAAATAATTATTTACTTATGACATATTATGGTAATAATAGAATGATTTTGAAGCTGTACAGTTTTTAATAAACGTTTTTTATTTGTAACAGGTCTATTATTATGTGCTTCTATAGATCCGTAATCATAATCATCCCATACAGCTACAAGACCTAAATAGTTAGAAGTAGTTATAGTAGTTAAAAAAAAATTGTACATGGAAGTTAACATTTTTCTTCAAAATATCACCTCGAGTGGTTGCAGACAATACTTGGCGGAAGTTGTTTAAGTATGTAGACTGAGTGTATTCATAATTTTTTTGTCCCTTTTCAGTTGGAATTTGAACAATTAATGCATTATGTTTTTCAATCTTTTATGTAATGAAAATATTTTTATTAATAAGTATTCCGTACTCAAAATTAAAAATAGAAAAAACGACTTACCACTGCTGTTAAAAAAATTACTGATTTTTTAGATGTTAAACAGAAAAAATTTGAACGATTTGGACAACATGATATTTGTTCTATTGGGCCAATGTTATCGTCAAGTTCAATAATTACTGAATAAAATAAATTGTTCAAATTAAAGGTGTTTTATACGAGAAAAAAATATAATCGCGTTAGGCGAGCGGAGTACGTGCTCCAGTTAATGTTGCAAAAAAAATTATTCACAAAATTTGGGACATTTTAATTATAATTAAAAAATATATTAATTTGTAAGTAAAGAATCTTTAATTGAGTCACTTAAAAGCATGCATTATATTCATTACATATTTAAGAGTGATTTAAAGGTTTCAAAATTTTTCGGTAGGAAGTATGCGCCCAGGGCAGTGGCAACACAAAATTATTTCAAGGAGAACCTTTTGTCATATACAGTTAATAGTTATAATTGACCGATGGGAATATAGATTCTTAGGATCCCACTTAGGTCTTTTGAAACAGTGATAAATTAACTCGCATTCGATAAATGAATTTATCAAAAAATATAAATCATGATGTATTCTTAAAAAGTGATATAAATTTAACAAATGAATATTATTTAATATTCTGTCTACTGCGTAAAACCTTATGATAAAAATTAATGGAATATTTTATCATAAGTATGATTACCATTGACTGATTATATAAATGTATAATATTTATGAGCAGTAAATAAAATTTAACATTTTTTAATTTTAACTTTTTCTTGCGTTAATTATCTAAAACTAAATTTTTAGATAGTAATCGAGAGGAAGTTTGTTTTAGCTACACATTTTTTTTTAATGTGAAACATTTAATTGGGCTGTTCAGATCGGCTGTTAGCGTGGGTGTCTCTTTTCTTCTTCTATTTGGCCAACCTCCATCCCTCTTTCACCGTACTGAACTCGTATACCTAAAGTATATGCTAAAACAATATGTTAAAAGTGAAGTAAATGTAAGTAATTATGAAGTTTTAGATATAAACTTGAATAAATGTAATATCATACCATTATTTGTCCAAGTTATTAGTTTTATTTTTTTGCTAGACGCTTTTTTTAGGACATACCAGTTTTTTTTATTTAAATCTTATCAGTCGTCCAACTCAACAACATAAATACATATTAAAAAGATAACTATTTTTAAGTTTCTTTATTAACAAAACTTTCTATTATGTATTGTTTAAAGTGAATAAATCGTAGTTAAGTCTATGAAATGTCTACTATAAATAGTGGATTTTCAACATTTTTCTGGGAAGCCGCTAAAAAAATAAGTACTCAATAAAATAATTTTCAATAGTAATCATAATGGTTCATGTGATTTTTTTCATAGAATTCGATGAATGATAAAAAATTATCAAAGCTGTTCATGAATAGATATTATTTATCACTTTCGTTAAAATTTTACTATGTTAGTAATTATATCGTATACGACCATTTTATCATACAACTTCGAGAATTGGCTCTCGGGACCACGTAGTTTTGTGTTTATTTTTTGGGTGAAGGTGTATATAAAAATCTTTATTACACCACCAATCGAAAATCAAATTGTAACTTAACTATGTAATTATTTTTACTGAGGGTATCCATCCCACCTCTATCACCCCTCCTTCCTAGCACTCGTATCATGATTTGTCTGGGTCACTGTAAGACCTAGCACGGGCACTGGTCTAGCTAAAATGTAAATTTAAGTTTTATATTTATTGCCTTGTGGAATAGTTAAAGTAGAAATCATACTGATAGGATCATCTGCACCAAACGTCCAATTCCATAAAGCTACGCTTTGAACATTGTTGACAGTCGCTACCGTTATCAAATATTTGGAGTCTATACTGAATTTAACAATAGATATTCCACTTTTGAATGGCGAAAATACAGAATATATTGGAGTCCTATAAATAGAACATAACGTAATTCGTACAGTTGTTATTTTTCAATACACAGAGGCATAATCAGGTACACATGGACACTTTGCTGCTTTTAATGCACTTTGTTAATTTAACTCTTATTTATTAAAACGATTATAGCGAATGTTAAAAAAAAAAAAGGAATAGAATAAACTCAAACACGTTAACTTAATATTTCAAGAGTGACGGATGTATTTTATCATATACAATTTTTGATTAAAGATACTTGAATTAGATAAAAGTTTAAGAGAATTGATTATGCATGAGAATATTAAATATAAAATGCATTTTACTACACTTTGTCCCATAGTCAGTTTGTTCAAATTCATTGGCCAAGATAAAAAAAATATTGGTTATTAAATAATATTAACTGTAGTTTTTATTCTGTTAGTCTATAAAAAGTAATATTCAATAGTAATTAATATTACCCATTAACATTTTCCCAAACTATAATAGTTGACTCTTTTCCCAGGTCAACTGTAACAAACCATTGGCCGTTTGTTGATACATCAAAGCTACTTATGATATTGCGCTATCAATTAAAATAATTAAAAATACATATATTTATTATCTGCCAAAGAATAATTAATTTGACTTACATGACCGTTCAACATTTTCATTCCATTAGTTTTGGTCTTAAAATCATATTCGTATATAACACCAATATGTGCACTAACGTAAGCTAAGCGAACGTTATTAATAATTCCATCCGAAATCGTTTTCCCAGGAATGTATTGCAGACCCTTCTTATAATTCCAACCAAATGACCATTCCATTTTCTAAAATTGATAAGTCAATTAAAGTTTATTACATAAGCTTTAATTTAAGATATTTATAAAAGTGTCAGTATTTTCGGAACACTTTTAAAAGTTAAATTGAAAAAGTTAATTTTTTGGGAAAACGTTGTCACTTTGAATTCTCTCCTGTGGGCAGGTGAAGGGTCAAGTTTACAAAATAATAAATAAATACCTATAAAAAAAATGGAATTCCACTTTTTAAAATTAATAAAAAACATTATTTTATTGATTTTATTATTAAAATCAAGAACTATTGAAAAAACATTCTGCTGTCTATAAAATTTAAAAGACCAAGATTCTCCGAACATTTTCAAAAAATCTGTTGAAAAAGATCTATTTTTTATACAAATGTTTCAAGATTTAAACCTCCATCTGTATAAGGGTAAAAGGTTAAGGCGGATTCGCACGACTGGGTACTTGCCAAGTACACCAATAATTGTATACTTGACAAATCATCTAATTATTAACAAGTGGAGCGTTCTCATGACTGGTGTACTTGACAAGTAAACCAGTACTTGTACACTTGTACAAGTAATAAACAAAATCCAAGTATACTATTCCTACGATTGGATCAAATGGCAAATAATTGTATTGGGGATGGGATCTGAAAAATATTAAGTCATGTATCATTTGATATTTTATCGCTGCAGTGTTTGGATGTTTTAGTGAGTAATTTTAGTTTTAGTTTAATATTTTTTTAGTTAAGATAGTTCTTTAACTTTTACTTATAATTTTTTGTTTTATTTATCTAATTAACGTTAAGTTAATTAAAATAGTTAGTGATAATGATAAAATGGTTATTTATGCTTCATACATAATTATGCGTGAAAAGTACTTAAATACAAACAATTAATTGAAAAAAATAATACAAAATAAAGAAGATGGTGGATAACCAATGCAACCACTTAAAAATAAAGTTTTGATAGTGAAATGTATTCAAAATTTATCATTAATAACATTAATTTATCTCCTTTTTTTCAGTAATTTGGCATTTCTAGTAAAGCCTTTTATTTATTTACTACCTATATTTATTTTTCGTTTGTATTGTTATTATGATTACTAAAGGTGATACTTACTAAAATAAACGTAAAGAGTTATCATTTTACTCAATTTCTATGAGCCGGATTGCAAAAACAAAAAATTGGCTGGTTAATTCAATTTCATTTAATTATAGCCATCGAAGCTTGAAATAAAACTGTTTTTACACTTATAGTTCTAATATAACTTTATAAAATAGAAAATGTTATTACTATAAAATATTTTTCAGTACTAAACTGTATTAATTTTATTTTCGGTACCCTACAACAAAAACATTTAAAGCCAATTTGAGGAGGCTAGTTTCCATAAAAATTAAAGAAAAAAAACACGACAGAGTAAAAGTAATAGCGTTTCAGCTACGTACCGAATTATAACACCCTTTATAATTTTTGACTTGTAAAAATGAGACAGAATTTTCCAAATATTAACATTTTAGTAAAATATTAAATTATCACATAATATTTACTTTATTCTTTATATTCATAAATTAATAAGTTATACAATTAATACATTACGTAATCAATTTTAACTATTAAATTATACTATAAAATAGTTTTACCTATCTATTAAATTAAATTAACCAATTAGGCCAATATAAGTTTTTAAACTATGGCACTCATTTGTACATTTTGTACACACCAGATAAAGAGTCAATTTTTTTTTAAATTATATAGTTTTTATATGAAAATAATTTTTTTTCAAAAAAATTTCGATTTGACAATAATACTTTGTAGTTGTAGTATTTTGTCATGCAGTATTTTTATTGTTATTAAATTTTCAAAAATCTTGAAACTTACAAACGGTAAAATATCTGTTACAGTACTTGTAGCTGTACTTCTTGTTTTTTCACTTATGGTACTTTGCATTCGTAATCGATTACTCCTAGTCATAATTGATGATGCCATCAATATCGATCGAATGTATATTTGTTTTTTATAATACAATTATTGAATAACAATTTTTGATAATAAATTTTTTTTAAATATTTTTTGGTAAACCAAATAATACTTGCAATGTTACTATAGAAAATAATCACGATTTAAAAATGTTATCTTTTATTTATTATACAATACCATATAAATTACTAAAAATTAATTATATAACAAGATATAAATATTGGTAATATTAAATAATATAACAAAAAAAATATTAAACGTTACTTAAAATAAATAAATTTTATTAATTGAATATTGCAAGAAATATTAGTTACACTTTGCATTGTTTAAATGAATATTTAAATTTCTTGTAAATATTTGTTTAAATAAGACCAAGTACATCAGATGATAGAATCCTAAAGTATTAGTTTATTATTTCCATAGGCGCAATTTCAATAAATTTTTAGGAGGGGAATATTATATATAATTTTCCCTTTCTTTAAACCCCAACTTGTGCCTATAATTAGTTCAGTAAAATAATTAAGGATGAGGCTATTATAACTGCACATAAGATTTATGTTGTGTACACAACTAATGTTGTTTTTGTAACTACTATGTCAACAGATATATTGTTATTGACCGCTGCTCGTAAATTAGTTTTGATCTTGATCTTTATACGTGTGGCGAAACTGCGCTTTCATACTCATTTCCACTTTAGTCTTTCTTTTGACACTAGTTTAAATTCAAAGATTTAAACCACTACATAAAAATATACTTTTTCAAATTATTTTAACAGCAAATCTTTTTTCGGCATCACTGATGGTTTCATTAGCCAAGTAACTAATACCTGGGTGAGTACAGGTCGTCCTTATAAATTACTGTAAATAGTTTAGTTATTTTAGTATTTTAAAAGAAAGTTAACTAACCCTAATTTTAAGTTTATTTTGTAGATTGCTTTTTACACATAAATATACCTACGTGTTTTACTTAATTGTGAAATGCCATTATTTGTTCGATCCCTTTCCCATCGTGGTTATTAAAATAAATTAAAAGAACATCCATACAGCTTGAATATTAATAATCGGATTAAATTGTAAACATTTAAAAGCATAAAATAAAATTTTTATAACTCAATAAATTTTATTTCTTTGTTCTCTTGTAAAAGTAGTCAATTTTAGTTTCTATTAACTGTCATATTCAAATCTTAATATACATTAACTATCAAATATATTTTAGATTTGCATAAAAAGGGTAGTGTCGGTATTTGGATATCACCTAAAAAAAAAAACCAAATTTTCACCATATACAACAAAATGATTTATTAAGCGTATAACTAAAAATTTTTATTTATCGTCTATCAATTGATTAGTATAATTATTCATTGTGATGTTACAGAAAGTTTATACAATTTTTGAATTAAAAACACCATAACCAGAGTTGATTTTTAAGAATAATTTGTGCTAATCTATCTAAATAATAAAAAACAAAACTAATTCTTAAAAATTAACTATAAATACAGTTTAGATATCAAAGATAACAAAATAAACATTTTAAAATTACATTAACTTTTTTAAAATTAACAATACAGAATGTTTTAAAGTAAACAATTTTGAGTATTAAACATTATAATTGTAAAAGTTACTCTACTAGATTTTATTTTTATTTAATGAAAACTACAATATAAAATGAATAGAAATATTTATAAGATTTTTTTAATTCAAATTTTTTTATAAAAGCTGAATGTTTAAAACTATTTTACAATGCCTATTCTATTATGTAGGCAAGTTATAGACAAGATAATTAGGTACAAATTATGAATAAATAATTTGTAATATTTATATAAACCATATATAATTTAGAACATATACCTTATAGTTTCCTTAACGATACCAATCATTGACAGTTTCATGTTGGCAAGTTTTATACTTGATATGACAGAGTTTTTTTTTTAAATTTCGGAAAGTCTGTTTTCGTTTCCTTATTAAGTCTCATAGTTGATTAAAAAATAAAAATATTAATTCAAACTTGAATAAATTATTTATTAAATATTAAAGTCTATGCCAACTGGTTAGTCTGTTAATGACTAATACCATTACCCTAATTATTTAATACAATTTAATCATAACTTAAAAAGTTCTAGTTATTAATTCATAAGTTTTTTTACTATTACTCGGCTTTAATATTTTATTTAATACATATATAATATGTAAATATATGTATTAAATTTTATACCATTAAATTAATACATTTAAAATTTTAAAGGTTATTTAATAATTATAATTATTAAACTATAAGTAGATCAATATAATATTTGAGAAGTAAATTAAATATAATTATACAAAGTGATTCGTGCAACATTAGCCATTCAATTTCTCTTAAAATAATAAAAAATTTTCTTTCTTATATTAGTAACATGCATATCTTTATGTAACTGTAATAAAATATTTTTTTATTTTCAACTCTTGTACTTAATAAGGGTATTATTAACTTGATTTTTTAAATGGCATAATACATATTATAAAAAATATTTTATAACAGATAAATAAATGTATATATATATATATACATACTTATAATTCTTTTGGCTTTTGTTAGTTACATATATATATATATATATATATCTAACAAAAGCTAAAAAAAATATTCTTTTAAGATATCAAGTTGCTAGCATTAAAAGGATCACCCTATATATAAACACAAAGTGATTGATTAACAAGACCTTACACAATATCGTAAGAAGCTTAAAATATATTATAAATTTTTCTTATTAAAAATGAATAGTATTTTATGTTCTATAATTTTCACAAAAAAAATTTGTTCTATTACCCCTTTAATATAGTATCAACTTTTTAAATGGAAACAGATATGCTTAAATAGCTTAAAAATAAAAAAAATATATCTAATTAAGAAAATTACTGGTCAATAACAATATTTTAAAGTTATTTGCACTTTATACAAGACCAAGAGTAGTGCAGATCATAAATGTCTAGAATAATGAAAATAAACACTTTTGCTTCACTTCCTGTCATTATAGTAAAGTTTTAATAACTTCTTAAATATTACTTCAAAAGTTAATATCAACTAGTCATTCCTTATTTCCTTATTTTTAAGCTTTTTGAAAACATATACTTCCATTCAAAAATATTAAGTTGATAGTATTTTAAAGGGATGAGAGGGGAAAGGATAATATATTTTTTTATAATTTTAAAGATATTGTATGAGCATAATTAATCAAACTTAAAGTATACATACAAATTTGTCAATTTTATCATTTTTGATATTGATATTTTTAGCTATATATTCTTTACACTTAATTTATATGATTGATTTTACATAAATTATAAATTTTTATAAATATTTTAAATAAATATAATTTAATTATTTTCAAAAATAGATTTTTATAAGTTGACTAGACTGACAAATTTAATTTTCAGTTACTTTGCAATAAAGTAATTTGTCGAAAATCTTTTGATTAAATTTCACCATTAACAACTAAGATTAAACTTAATTTTTTTTCAAAATATATTGCTCCTTTTACAAAGCTCAATGTAAGGTAATGTTAATTATAATATTGAAAATGTATCACATAACTATTAAACTTAAAATTTAATTTTTAAACATTTTGAATATATAAAATAAAAAAAAATTATTTGACCTATATTACTTTGACATTAAATTCTGTTTTGCTGAATTGTAATAGCTTTATACTACTTCTTGTTTAAATCAATAAATAAAACTATATATATGTTATACAAAAATATAATCTAAAGAAGAAAGTTATAAATTTGTTTATAAAAGTGTAAAAAGTTCTAGTCAGACTTATATAAGTTTGTGCTCATATTTGATTTAATTTAATTGACATTAATAGTTGATAATAATAAAAAAAATTTTGTATGAAATATTTGCTATGTATAATCTTATATAATATATATATATATAAGATTATTTAAAAAATTGTTGAGCAAATATGCAATATTTATTTGAAAATTTGTTTTTCTAAACTTAAATATATACAACAAAAGAAAAATATTTATGTAATTTAAATGGTAGCCTTCTTTGTTTTTTTCTCATTATATTTAATAAATTTATGAAAGATTGAAACATTCTAAGTTTCTGTTTAACTAAACTAGAACAAACAACAGTTGTATGATTGTAGCTATCAAACATATAGATAATTAAAATTTATAAGGAAATAGTTAATTAAATATTAATAATTTAAACCATAAAAAATTAATATTTAAATAGCATAACAATAATCCTTAATTGTGGACGGATTTACACAACAAAAGCAAATCAATTTTTTTTTTTTAGATTACAATAGTACATATTCTTTTTGAGTGATAATTTTATATAATATAAAATATATTTAATAATTTAAATAATAAATCACAGAACCTGTTTTAATATTTTTAATAGCCTTAAAGATATCAATTAATAATTCTTTAATACATAGCACTAAAGAAGTACATTTAAACTAAAAATTGAATTACACTGAAAACAGTTTTAATTTGTTTTGAAGTTTAACTAGTAATAATTAATTCTAAAATAAGATATATTACATAGTAATAATCAATCAAGTATTTATAAAGAAAAATTTGTTACTATAGAAAATTTCAATAAATTTTATTATTTTTAATTTTGTCTGTCAAGAATTAAACTTTTTATGTAAAAGTTCTGTATCTTGTTTCAGTCTATACAATTCTTTTTCAATCTTATCAGTGATGGCTTTGCGTGCATCTTCATCACTCGCACCAGAGTTTCGTAATTTATTTACAAGAGATTCTAATTCTATGGGCTCTCCAAAATTGTATGTTACTTTACGACCAGTACGTAAATAGTATGGTGGTTCATTAGCAAGAATAGTTTCCATACCTACATGACAAATTGGAATAATAATAGGTGTTACAGGAGCTTTATAAATCATTTGACCAACTCCCCATTTCAAACGTATGTATTCTTTAGTCATATTTACACGACCTTCAGGAAATAAGTGTAACCAATGACCTTGGGATAAAAGTTCAACACTAAATTTAACAGCATCCTGTAAATAACATAGTTATATTTATTTTTAATATATATATATATGTGGGAAAATGCAAACAGGCAATTACAGGAACAGAGCGAAGACGCAATACTTTATTTAATTTATATATATATATAAATTAAATTTATATATATATATAAATTAATACACAAAAAAACTCTATTAAATGTTAACAAACAAAAATAACACATATATTTAAATACGCACGAAAACTCTATATAAAATATTCACACAACACAGAAAATAAAATATAAAACAGAATACACTTATAAACTAAAGAATATACATAGAGACACGTTTTAGCCGACTCACGACTTGACTTAATCTCCCTCTATGTACTTGATACCACTATCTATCTCCAGACCCTGGAAGTGGTGACATCTAGATACCAATAGTACCCACATTTCGACCCTCTTCTTGATCAGTCGTCTCGACTGATTGACAGTTTTCTATCTCTTCTTCATCATCTGTATCTATTTGGCTCCATGGCTTCATATAGTCAACACCAGATGATGTTCTAATGGGACCTTCAGACTCACCAATTTTGACCATTTCATATCTGTCTGGTCCTCTACGTTTGGTTATTTGGTATAGGCCCAAAAACTTTTTATGAATTTTGGAAAGTGGCTTGAATTGTGTCCTCAAAATAGCAACCAAATCACCTAGGTGATACTTATGTGCTTCCTTTCTCTTTTTATTAAAAGTTTTACGCTGTTCTTCTTGAGCTTTAAAAATTTGTTCTTGTGCTTCCTTACGTAATTCATCTCTCTCTTCCACAAAAGCATTTGTATAGACTGAAGCTCCTTGTAATTTATCTATTTGATCATCTATTAATGGCAAAGAGTGTATATCTTTGATTATTTTCCTATTTAACATCCTGTAATCTACACAGGGACGTAGAGAGTTATCTTTCTTCCTGACCAAAACTATTGGACTAGCATAGTCAGAACAACTAGGTCTAATAATGTCTTCTTGTAACCATTCTTCTATTTGTTTCTCAACTTCACATGTTTCCGCTGGAGATAGGCGCCGTGGTCTTTGATATACAGGTTTTTCATCCATTAGTAAAATAACTGTTTCAATCGGTGCATGTTTTACATTATTTGGTTCATAATCTTTCACTATATTATTAATTTCCTCTTTATAAGTTGATGCACCTATGTTGAGCTGATTACAAGGTATATTAATAGACATTATTTGATTTTCTTCTTCTTCAAATTTAGTTATTCTCACACACTTAGGATTTATGTGCAGTTCAGCACTTGTTTGAAATATAACTTTTCCTACTAACAGGTCACATGTAATGGCTTCATCAGGAACAACATAAATATCAGTAGTATATGATGATCCATCAACACTTAATTTGCAAGTAAATACACCTTCTGTGTAGAACTTAACTCCTCCTGGTCCTCCTAGTAAAGTTTTATCTTTACGAATTGTGATTTCATCTAACTTCAACATAAATGACCTTCGACAGAGATTCACATCACTACCAGTGTCAACTAAAGCATTAGTTTCTACACCTTGTATATCAACTAATTTACTTATACGATTAGTAGGATATATGCCATCAATAACTTGATTCACTTGTATTTTAACATTTTCATCTCTTTGACTTCTATCAGTATTTGGTTGACTAGTTGATGGACGATAAGAACATGATGATGCTTTATGACCAAATTCCTGGCATAAAAAACACTTAAATCCTTTACTAGCATCAGGACAAGAACTAGAACGGTGACCCTTTGCACCACAGTTGTAGCAACGATTAATGTTTGCTGATTGACCTTCATGTTTATATGATTTAAATGAAGCATTAGGCAATTCATTCAAATATTTTTTTTCGCTGAAATTTATGTTTGACTTTGTATTTGCCCTTACGTTTAACTTCATCTTCTCATACAGTTCAAGTTTAAATTTTGGCTCATTAATGGATGTAGCGCCATACAGTATTATCTTGTTGACTTCCAAGTCTCTTATACCAGCTATAATATAATCAATAAGAGAATCTTCTTCAATATTGCCTAGCTGAGCAATCTGTTTCATCTTGAAAACATACTGCTGATACGATTCATCAATTTTCTTAAATCGCTCAGATAGTGAACGATGAATAGCAGCTGTGTTCATACGACTTTTAAACTCATTCTTCAGTTTATCTTTTAAAATTGTCCAAGTAGTAATTCCTCTTTCCGATTGAATATATAATTGAGCCGTTCCCATTAATAAACGTTTACCATAAATTAACTTCTCAGGATCGGACCAACGTAGTACACTAGCCATTTCTTCAATTTCTTCAATCCATCGATTAACTGGATAAGCATCATCACCAGAAAACTTTGACAGTGATTCTTCAACATCTCTAAAGCTTAAATGAGATTTGCTATGCTCAAGTCTCAAAGCAAATACTTCCTCTCGAAGTCTA